GGGGCAAAAGAGAATTGGCTGGCCGACAACAATCACCACGGAGGCTTGACGACATTGGCCGCCACCCGCCTCCTAGCCAACAAACTCTTGAAGGCGCCCAAAAACTGCACGAGCGACTCCTCATCGGGCGCGCAGAAGCGGTACGTCTTCTCCTCGGTGATGATCTGCAGGCAGTTCGTCTTGCTGCGGCTGACGGGGTCCATCTCGACGACGCTGACGACGTCGGCCACCTCGATGATGCTCTGGGCGGCGTACTCGGACTCGTCCTTGTAGAGGACCAGCTGGCGGGCGCGCAGGACCCCCCACATGTGCTTCCACTGGCGCACGCCGCCCTTGCTGCGATGCATCCAGAGGGCGCCCTGCCAGACGACGCGCTCGGACTCCTGCTCGGCCGTCACGGCGCTGACATGGCTGGCGGAGCGGCCCCCCGTCTCCGGGCGCTGGCCCAGTGGGTTGAGCTTCTGCGGCGCGGCGCCGGGCGTGTGCAGCTCGGGGGGCGACTGCGCGGCCAGGCTCTCGTAGGAGGTGCCCCCCTGTCGTCGGGGGCCATCGTTGTCGGAAAAGTCAGAGTAGGAGAGCATCTCGTTGCCGGACAGGCCGGACGAGTCCAGCGTGTAGGAGAAGCGATGGTTGTTGCCTCCTGGCGCCATGGACTTGGGCACCGTCGAGTCGAAGTTGCTGCCCATGTTCTCGGGCGAGCTCGAGAAGGCGGCGTAGGCGGGCTGGCGGTAGCTGTCGGGCGCGCCGGGCGACGCGACGGTGTGGACGACGGGGCTGCCGAGGTACAGTTCCTCCTCCTCCTCGTCGAGGCGGGCGGTCCTGCGGATGGCGTCGACCCATTCCTGCGCGTCCTGGGCGGTCGAGGCCTGGAAGTGATAGTTGCGCGAGGGCGAGAAGAGGCCAAAGAGGTTCTGGCGCTTGTGCTTGGGGTCCTTGAGGAAGGCGACGGCGGAGAGGTCGGAGGTGTAGAGGTGGTGGCGGAGCTTGGTCTCCTTGTCATCCTTGTAGATGGAGATGCCGTTTGGTCGCAGGACGAGGTAGACGCTCTTCCACTTCTGTTGCAGGCGCGTTAGCATTTGATGACCTTGCGAGATCATACATGTCATCGTCACAACACACACACACACACCTTTGTCTTCTGGCCGCGCTTCTGGACGAAGCCGCTCTTGATGACCCGGTCGACCTCGAAGCAGCCGGTCTGGTGCACTGGAGCAGGCGCCGTGTCCAGGGGTAAGCGACTGCGGCGGTTCAGGGCGTTGACGTTTGCGTCGCTGGAGCTGCGGGCAGTGACGACGGCCGCCTCCTGGAGCCTCGTCTCTGCCTGTCGAGGGGCAGCCATGCCGGGCAAGGATGCCGATTCTTGTTTTGCCTCGGGAGGGCGACGATGGAGCTGAAGCTGAGCTGAGCCTCGCGAGGCTGTCGAAGCCGGTTCGTGGGACGTTTCGAGGTGGGAATGTGCGCGACTCGACGGTGGTTTGGATGTGGAGCCGGATTGGAAGAGCAGCGGAAGTGTCGATCGGAGTCGGTGGTGTTTTTTTTTTTTTTTTTTTTTTTTTTTTTTTCTTCTGCAGTCGCAGCTTTGTGGTTGTACAGTGGTAGGGGTCTGTAGCAGTGTCGTGCGAATTCGACAACACGGCTGTTGTGTCTTGCGTTGAGCCTCTAGTAATTCTTGAATGACGAGCAGAGGCAGCCGGTAACAGAGGCAAAGTGCTGCAACAGGCGGCCGCGGCCGTGTCGAGGGCGATGACGATGGCAATGGCAGGCTTTTGGGTCGGGTGATTCGAGGCAGACGCAGCCGTATTCGTGCTCGAATCGGTTAATACTGGGCGAAAAGAGGAAGCCTAGGGTCGCGGCCAGGCTGACAACGTGACGATGAGAAGCAATAAGTAGTGCCTGCAAGCAGTGCCGTGCCCCAGCTGTGATGCGCGCGTGGCCGACTGAACGACCATAGTCTGGCGTCTAGAAAGATGTGTGTGTGTGTAGAGTGATAATATTCAACAGCTCGAGTTGAGATGAGTTCAGCTCGGGTTCAAGCAGCAGCAGCAGCAGCAGCAGCAGGGGAGCTCTCTGGTCGGTTTCAGCTGCGCGGGCGTCTGTGTCGAGGCGCGACAGGTGGATGGCCGACCTGCAATTGCCCTGGGCCGGCAGCGAGCGCAGCAGGGATCAGGGCGCGATGATTGGGCGTGGGCAAAAGGGGGGGAGAAGGATGAAACAGGATCATGGATTAGAAACAGAGGCAGAACAGAGACAGATTTGAATGACCGGGGGGGTGCAGTTCGTGGTTAATATAGTGGTAGTAGTAGCATTAGAGGCATGTTGTGTTGTTGTATGTATTG